GTTTAATATTTGAGATAACTAATTTTCTTTTAAAAATTTCACTTAATAGTCCATCAAAAAAGCTAGTTAAAAATGTCAGAAAAGTTGCGTAATAATTTGAAAGGAAGCTTGGCAGTTGTATTTTCGATTTTCTTGCTGATAATGCCTTTCGAGAATTCCAAACTTTTTGCGCTAATTTGACACCAACTTCCTTCCATTTAACATCATCCCACTCTGATTCTGATTCCAATTTAGTAAATTTTTTTATCTGATTTAAATGCATTAACATCATCAAAAAAAAACTAGGTATTTGGGATAAAAAGAAAATTGTCCTTGTAGAATTTAGAATTATGGATTCAGAGACGTTATTATTATTATAATTATCCCTTGGATTATGGTATGTATATTTTAAAGGGAATGTTTCTGAAGGAATATATAAAAAATTGATTGCTAGAACTAACATGCACGCTAAAATTTTCTTTTTTTGATCCTCAGATTCAGTTTGTGCAACATGTTGAAGCCATTGGGCTAACAATTCCAAACTCTTTGTCAAATCATTAATATGCCAATTTTTTTCTATACATGTAACAATTCGTTTTCCAGGTCCAGGTCGATGATGTAAATGCCCACCCTTAGATTCATAACATTCACAGCAAATATATCACATCATTCTAACTTCTTCAAAGTTTTGTTTAGCAATTCCTTGACATTCATACAATGAATTACAGGTAAAGAGTCTGATACAAGGTATTTGAATGTTCCTTTCAAAAATATTCCATGAATGTTCCTTACATCTGATTTCACGACCAAAGCAATAAAAGTTTTTACAACAAAACAAACATCTGCATCGTCTAACTTCACTTTGCTGAATTTTTCGCATTTGTTTTGCTTTAGAACTATGATTCTTCTGATCATAGTTAAAATGTTGCATACATACTCCTAATGCTAATTGATCTGCTTCAAATTCTATTGCCGCATTTGTATCAATTTGCTAAACGCTAACTAATTGACAAATATTTTTAATATTTTCTGTTCTACCACAAGTTTGTAATTTTCTATCTACTAAATCAACAAGGACACATGATGATAATAAAGTTGTTGATGTTGTTTCACAAATTGGTTTACTTCGTTTCTCAATAGGTGTTGGAGGTGGAGTTTCTGTTGATGTTGATGGAGGTGGAATTTCTGTTGGTATTGGTGGAGGTGGAATTTCTGTTGAAATTAATGGAGGAGGGGGTGATGATGATGGTGGTGGTAGTGATGAAAATAAAGTTTTCTCAATATCATCTTGATAATAATCATCATTTTCGCCACTAACTATAATTTCTTGTTCAAGCTCTGTTTGTGCTTTAATATATTCCTCTTGGTTAAATACAAATTGTTCTAGTTCAGGTAACTCATTAAATGCTTGTTTATCAAAAGATTCCCAGCTTGCGTCAGAATCATTGTCAGAATCATTGTTAGAGAAGTCTTCATTTTCTTCAGAGTTACGGAATTTTGATTCATTTAATAATTGAACGTCTCTTTCCGCAAAGTTAAAGTTAAAAGAGGAGCTAGCACCCTCCATTAACCAATTTCGTTCAAATTTTGTCAATGTTAGTTCAAGAGATTCTCGTAAAAGAAAGCAGTTATGGAAAAAGTAAAAACGGAAATAAAAGTAGTTATCTCTGAACTATAATTAGACCCACTTGATTAACTGTAATACAATAGTATATTTTATGCTTATCTATATGATTTTGGCATTTTTACTATAATAATGCAAGATAATGCAAGTTATCGATCTTATAATTGATTAATTTTGAAATGCAGATCATCAGACATGTTACCTGACTGCTATGATTTAATTTCACAAACTAATTTATCATAGCTTAGTATTTATATTGAAGAGTTAGATAATAAACTTTCAGATGGTAAAATAAAAGAACAGGTTTGAAAAGCCAGAGATCAGGCTAAAAAATACTTCTAATAGAGAGATTGAGTAAGAAACAAGTTGATACTCTTATTCTTATTTGAATTTCTGAAAAATATGTTGATGAAAGAGATCTCATTAAAATTATCATTCAAGATATTATAAAAAATAATCTCTTATCTAAAAAGATAAATAAAATAGCATACGACTTAGTTTCTTCTACTCTTATTACTATTGCTAAAACTTTTCATCTTAATTTATTACAGAAAAAATTACGTAGCTTAAAAGCTAACTATCTCATTACTAAGGTAATGAAAATACTTTTTATTACTAAAAAGCAAATTATATTCGAATAAGAAAACGTATATTTCATAGAATTAATGATTAAGATTGTCTTGAGTTCTTTTATCTGAAAAAGTTCAGAAAAGACTTAACAAATATGATATTACCAAGTTTCTTTTAATGCAAAATCTAATAGACATAATGGTTATGTTATGTATGTGATCAGTAGATGTAAAACTCTTCATATCAATCGATACAAATCAAGTCACAAGTCATAGTATAATCCTGACTATTCTTTATATTATACTGATTATGTGAAAAATAAAGACGAGATAAAAGAACCTTAGCTATTTCTCTTAATGGAAAAAAATCTAATACAAACAAGAGAATTACTTATTTAGATTTAGAGATCAATATCAGACAAAATTTTTTTCTTATTAAAAGATAAAAATAGTAACACTAATGTAGCTTTACTTAATTAATTCTTAAATCATTATAGAAACATCTCATATATGTTAAGAAATAGGTACTGATCATACTTTTGAAGCATATGAAGATAAGAATGATTTCTATCAGTAATATTTATAATAATTAGCATATAAGTATAAAATAAGTTATACTTCATCAGTTAAATATTATGGTGTGATGAATGATAGACTAATTATTTTAATACTTAGGCTAATTACCTATGATTAAATAAGAATATGATAAAATTGAAGATATCTAGATTAGCTAAAAATAACTAATATGACTAATTACTACCGCATTTAATATAAATTATTATGAAACTACAAAACAAATAAATATCAATTTTTTATATTTTTTCAATAACTTAAATAGTTTTTCCTTCATATCATTTTTGCTATCATTAAGATAACTAAAATCAAAATTAGATATAGCATTTATTTTATTATCAATATCTTTTAAAAAATATATATAATCATTTATAAAAATACCTAAATATTTTGAAAAAATTATTATATAGTATAGAGATTTATATATTCTTAATGAATTAATTGAATAGAAAATGTCACTAATTTGAGAATAAATAGATCTAAGATGATTTTTTTTTAGTATTCTATTATATGGTAAAACATTATTAAATTATTCAACTTAAACAATAAAACAAAATTCATATAATTTTATAAGTGCTCAAAATTCTTTTGAACGTTAAATATGATAATAGCAAAAATTTTAAATAGGTCATTATTATTAGAAAATGAAAAAGTATATTTTCTAAAATTTTAGGTACTAATAAAACATGTGTTATAAGAGAATTACTGAATATAAGTATAAAATGGCTAGCATTAGTTTTCACATTCATATTCAATTCAATTAAACTTAGATCAAAATAGAAACTATATTTTAAATAAATATTTTATTGCAAAACAATGATTCTTTGAGCTTACGAAATTTATAAAATAGATTAAATTTTTGATCACGTTTCTTTGCTTTCACTACATGTATAGTTATTTTATTATTGAAATCAGATTCATCATTGGATTCAGAATCTTTAGAGTAGAAGCATTTAGATTTTATTCAAAACTCATCTTTATTCTCATCTGAAGAATAATCATAGATAGTTTTTTTTCAAGGATAGGAGTAATTGCAAGAGTTATGCTCAAGATTATGGCAATTTGAGGTTTGCCGCATCGAGCTTGTTTTTTTGACTTTGAAGAATTTTTCAATTTTTCTCACTAACTTTACATATTCTTCTGCATTGTCCTGTTGAAGTAGATACATGTGTACCATTTCCAAACTAGCCACTGCAGTATTAGTACTAATAACAGGAATTTTACAGCTGTCATCCATTTCTTCTGAGTCTAAATTTTCCTCATCAGCATTTTTAAAAAGATACACAAATTCTTCAATGATTCGATTATCTTCAGGAATTTTGTAAATGATATCCTCTTTAGGAATATTAAGAAACTCTTCTAATTGCATTTATGGGAAAAATCAAGAGCTTAAAATGCATCCGCAAGATCATTAAGTACTAAGTTTTCATCATCTGAATCATTTCTCAAATCCGTGTCTGCATCAATATGGGTAGGAAGAATCTTTGTATGGCACCAGCAGTTACGAATCGTATTGACTTTAACCTCATCCTAGGCTTGGATAATAAAATGAATTGCCTGCAAGACGTTCATACGTAAGTCTTCTACCCAGTTATCTTCTTCTATATGTCGAAATATTAGGCTTTTAAAAAAAAATAGGTAATTAGATTTTGGGTGTTTATAATATTTAATAAATTTATTTATAAATATATCTTACCATATATGAGAATGACGGTAATGTCTTTTAAAAGTTATTATGATTTCAGAATCCATCGGTTGGATTTTTGAAGTCGTGTTTGGAGGTAAAAAATGAACATTGGTATATTGTAAGGTAAGGCCGACTAATTTGTGATTAGAATAGTTATCAAGAAGAAGTAATACCCGCTGGCCTTGATACTTTAGACCAACTTGGCGATCAAACTCCCAAATCCACTTCTAAAAAAGTGATGTAATCATCCAGGCTTTGGCATTGTTGTGATACATCTACATCATGAGCATACTATGAATCCTTATATTTTTAAAACAACGCGGTCTTCATATTTGCCGATTATTAGAGGTTTGAATTTGTGTGATCCATCGGCATTTACACATAACGTGATTGAAAGGCATTCTTTATTCACCTTACGTCTAGCAAGACGTTTGGTTGCAAGCGTTCGATCAGATTCTAGCCTACAATCATGTAAGATAAGTATTTCTTTTGTTTTAATTTTTTTGTTCTTTTAATTGTATTACTAAAAATTTTACCTGTAAAATAGTCCGGTTTCATCTATATTGTAGATTCTCTCAAGAGGATAATTGGAGCAGCGTTCCCTTAATAAAGATAGGGCATTAGCAATGGCAACTTCATCAGTAGATGAAGCTTCTCCTTCAAGCTTTCGTTGACGAATTCCATTGTGATCCTTAAACTTTGAAGCCATTCTTGAGAAAATTGAAATGCATTCTGGGGAATCTCTAATCCGTCAGCAATCATTTTGGCTTTTTCGATAAGTATTGCATCACTTAAAATCGTCTGATGCTGATATTCTAAAACAAATTCTTTAAGCGTAAATTTAAGTTCTGGATAAGAAACGGGTTTATGTCGCTTTATATTTGGGCTGATGATTTCTGAACTAAGTCGTTTGTCTGCTATTTGTAGGGTACGGGTAATGGTACTTTTACTAACTCTAAAGCCCCACTGTTCTTCAATCCAATCGATATACTGGGCTCGAGTTTTTTTACTATTATCACGAGCATATTTACAAAAATCTCGCTTTTGAATTTCAGTGAGAGTGGTTTTTTTAAGAGACATTTTTTATTGATTTCAATGTAT